TCTGAATGGGGACATTGGTCTATTTGTGTTTTTGGACTTAGACTTAGACTGAACCTTATGCCATCAGCTTTCTCGGCCCTAAGGCCTTTAAAGTCAGACAGGAACTTACATCATCTGCTCACCTGGTTCTCAGGCTTTCAGACGCGACCTGGAACTATACCATCAGCTCTCCAGAGTCTCCAGCTTGCTGACTGCAGATTTTGGACTTCTCAACCTTCATAGTTATGGGAAGCCAATTCCTTATGGTAAATTTATCTATCTGTCTGTGTATCTATCCACTTACTTATCTATCTATTTACTGTCTGTCTATCAATCACCTCCCTCCCTCCCTATCTCCTATTGGTTCTATCTCTAGAGGACCCAGACTAATACAGATTTGAAAGGAAAAAAAAAAAAGGATATTAGTGTATCCAGATTTTCTAAAACATGATTCTTTATATTGATAGAAATTGTGTGATTTTTTTTGACATAAGATGCAGAGGAATAATAGTATTGGGATGTTTTTTAAAAACTGCAAACAGACCAATTTCTGTTTCCTACAGGAACTACTTTGTAGATCATTTTAGAACAGCCTGAGTGAGCTATTGCAGGTATTGAAGGTAGAAAATATTGATTTAGGTCTATATCAAATATATTTCTTTAACCAGGGGGACCTTTTCTTCCATCCTACTACATTACTACACTCTGCATAAAGTCACCTTTCATGGAAACAAAGGTCTCTGCAAAATGTTTTGAGGGAAAAGATAAGATGTGTATGTTTGTATTGGATATACATTTTCAACCTCATTTCTGTATAGGTCAAAGAAAAAAGCAAAGTACTTTAAATGCAGATTTTGCCATTATGGACAGGAAATGACGAATGCAGAAACTGAGGACCCAAAGCTGTCAGAAAAATCTGACTTAGCCTCATTAGATATTTAAGAAATAAAATATAAATAGATCACAGAAGAAAGGCTCTCATCTCTGAGGGACTGCTGGGCACAGATTTTGTGCATCTTCTCTATTAACTGGGTCATCACTGATTAAAGAATTCTTCTAGGGCACTTGGCATACTCATTCAGTATTAAACTGAACTTGATTCGACAGAATTCACCGGGCTCCAGCAGAGGGCGTGATTCACAAATGCTGGAGCCGGGGATGCTGTAGCAGTGTAGTCTAAAAAAGCAAAGATGGATCTGGAATTTCCAGCCAATTTCAACCTTTTCCTTTTGCAGCGTGCTATGTTCGGGTAATCAGTAATTCAAGCTAATATGAAAGGACAATGAAAAGCAGTAAGCTGAAGTTTTGGAGAGATATTAATTATTGAATAAAATATTTTAAAATATTTACTGGAATGGGGTTTTAAAAATAAATTGCATTTTTCTTTAAAATGCATGGAATGTGTCTTCTTTTATCAACATTAGTTGCCTTATTGATATTGAGTCAAGGAGCTGAGGGAAGAAAAAAGAAACCACTTTTTTTAAAAAAAATGCCAAGTTAACAGCATTATCTTAGGGAAGAAAAGTGATTGTAGTGAGGAAGGACCTACAGCTCGATAAGAGTTTTTAATAATAAATTCTAAACATCAGTAACTAAAACACCAATGAATAATAATGAATTCTGCTCCTGGCAAGTGTCTTATTATATCTATCTATCTATCTATCTATCTATCTATCTAATCTATATCTATACCTATATCTATATTGGACTTAAAAAAATCCAGATGTCAAAAATATTCAGGGGCTATGAAGAAACTGACTGAGACTTTAGGAATCAACCCCCATCATCAAGACTGCTTGGCCCCTTCTGATGTCAGAACAGCTTCCATATAAATATTCTACTGTGCATGGGTGTCAGGGGTCTTCATGTCCAAGATAGGCTGAACTTCATGATGCTGGAATAAAACACTTCCCATAAGCTCTTCCTCTCTCCCATCTCCTGTCTCAAGACCCCAACATATATTTGGCCTTCAGCCCTGACTCTCCGCATAGGAAGGAAACGAAAAACATTCAGCTCATATTGAGTGATAATGCTTAACATATTAAAGGCAAAGTGATATTTTTAATGGTGATTTTCGATAATATTATTGATGGTAGTAATGATGATAAAGGACAATGCTAACAAATAGAAAAAAAGAACAGAAAAAAGCATAAAAATATCCAATAGAATGCTCAGTAGGCTAGACATGTTTCAACTGAGACCCTAGACCTCAATGAAAACAGAATAGTTTCAATCTCAATTACATTTATCAATGTATCTAGGTCCTGGGAATTTTTTTCTTCCCTGGGAGCAGGCACACTTTCAAATTCTTCTTTATGAGAGTACTAAACTATTGCAGAGGCAGCAGCTCTGAGCATTCCTTTGAAGTATATACTAAAGAGGCATTTCAAACACTGCTAAGAGCATGCTGTACCATCATTAAAAGCCAACATTAAAATTCAGAAATCAAAAGCATGTTTACACCAGGCTAAACCATTTTTTTTCTTACAAACTAAAAGAACATCAAGCTATCCAAAATGATTTAGTGAAAAAGGTCTATTTTTCTTGTTTACCCACTGACTACGAAGGCACTGGGCCAATGTTATTCTAGTTATCTCGGCATTTTTAGCATTCTCTTTGCATAAATTCTGTAAAAGGGCAAACTTCCCATATACAATATCATATTTGGTATAAGAAATAGAATATTTGGGGAAACCAAAATTATATTTAAAACATACTAAGGGCAGATGTGATGGCTCACATCTGTAATCCTAGCACCTTGGGAGGCTGAGGCAGATGGATCACAAGGTCAGGAGTTCGAGATCAGCCTGGCCAACATGGTGAAGCCTCATCTCTACTAGAAATACAAAAAATTAGTTGGGTATGGTGGTGCGCTCCTGTAATCCCAGCTACTCAGGAGGCTGAGGAAGAAGAATTGCTTGAACCCAGGAGGTGGAGGTTGCAGTGAGCTGAGATCATGGTACTCCAGCCTCAGCAATGGAGCAAGACTGTTTCAAAAAAGCAAAAGCAAACCAATACCAAAAACATACAAGGAAGAAAATAGTGGTTTTACTCTTCAAGATGGAACAGAATATGAGGTGCACTGATTTCTAATTGCAAACTTAATTCCATTTTTTCCCTATAGCCTTAAGTTTTAATTGCCATTAGATTTCTCTATCCTACGTTTTTGTATTTTATAATGAATTCTTGCAAATGACTTGCTGTGGTGGCTGTGGAAATGCCCTGCTCAGATCTTCATGAAAATCTTCTGTGGAAGGGTAGTTGACCAAAAATTTCTAGCTGCTTCCCTCCTAGGCACTGAGGCCACACATCCCATAAGCTGCTCTCACACAATGGCCAAGCACAGCAGCTCAGAGCCAGTCCATGCCTTCTCAAAGTGATGCTTCCTCTAATGAAGACATTTTCCTTTACATGCCTGTAATCCTAGCACTTTGGGAGGCCCAGGTGGGTAGATCACTTGATGTCAGAAGTTCAAGACCAGCCTGGCCAATTTGGTAAAACCCCATTTCTACTAAAAATATAAAAATTAGCTTGGCGTGTTGTCAGGCGCCTGTAATGCCAGCAACTCAGCAGGCTGAGGCAGGAGAATCGCTTGAACCCAGGAGGTGGGGGTTTCGGTGTACCAACATCGTGTGCCACTGCATTCCAGCCTGGGCAACAGAGCGAGACTCTGTCTGAAAAAAAAAAAAAAAAAAAAAAAAAAAAGGTTCCTTGTATTTATTGAAAGGAATTTTAGTGTGTTGTATGTGTAATGTCAAATAAAGAATATTTAACACAAAAGAAAGACATCATCTGAAGTGCGAAGCATACATAGTTTCTGAATAAGGTGGCAGCCCTTATTACTCAGAAAAAGTCCCCAGGGAGAGGAATGTCCTTGGTGTGAGGATTAAGGCGTTTGGAAAACACAGCTGAAGATCCTGGCAAAGGCAGGGGCTGAGGGGGTCCCGGTGCATGAGGCCCAGAACCAGCTGCGCATGTACCTGACCAGGGCGGTGGCGGCTGCACAGCCTCTTCTCATGTACTGGCTCACCTTCCACCTGGAGCGGTGAGCGCGGCCGCTGAACCTCCCGCTGCTGCTGCTGCTGCTGCTGCTGGGGGCCACTGTGTCCGCAGGACTCATCTCCCGCCTGCGGGCCCCAGGGTCCACCCTGTTTGGGTACAGGAGCCGCCCCCATCCCAAGTCCCGAGGAGCCTCGCCCCCAACCCAAGGGGCTGCAAGATTTCCAGCTGCACAGGCCACCGCTCCAGGGCGTGGCCGCTGTTACTGAAACAATAAACCCTGATGGTCAAAAACAAAACAAAACAAAACAAAAAACAGATTGAACAATGCCTGAAGGACAGCAGAACTACTAAGTTAAATTGATGCTTCAGAGAGGTATAATGATAAATTGAGGGCAGTAAATCTGTAAAGTTAGGTGTGATAGCCAGAGGCCCTTTACGGTAGTTTAGGAAGAAGCCCTTACTCTTCCTGCAATGGAAGAGCTGATAGTTGCAGAGAAACAGACCCAGGATTTCATAGTGAGAATTGCAGACTTCCAGAGACAGTTGAATGTTCAGCAAAAGCAGTACAGGTTTCTGGTAAGGTTAGGGCTGTGGTTAGGATCCCTGGAACCCTACCAGATAAAATTGGAACACCTGAGTAAACGCTGACGGAGATGGCCTTAAATCCCTGAGCTTCTCTCAGAGCATTTACTTTAGAAAACCTGTAATTGTAAATTCTTTCTCTTGCGCCTTTGAGATGTAAATCCTTTTAAAAGCCTCTTGCTAATTTTATAATCTAGGAAAGTCTTTCTCAAGTGCTTAGAAGCCATTCTTTTGACATGTAATTTTGAGGAAAGATAGTGCACCTAAATTTCAGTTTCTGTGTGAGAATGGGAGTCTAACTTTTATAGGCACCAATTAGCAAACAAGGATGGCCTAATAATTGAGAAAAAACATTTGTAAACTCAGAATTAGCACAGGTCACTAATCAACTGCTCAACCCCCACCCCATGTCCTCCAGCATTTTTCCAGTAGCTTACCCCAGCTCTGAAATTCCTCCTTCCCTTTGTTTCAATGGAGTTGAGCTCAGATGACCTCTCTCCTGTTTTAGCAGCTTTGAATAGTCTTCTTTGCCTTCCAGTGCAATTTTTACTTTGAAATATCCCTGAGAATTGTGGCTTTTCAGACCCCTCTGACCCTCAGAATTTGCAAAAGAAAGAAGGCCGTCCCTCCCTTCTGCTACCCAGAAGGAAGTAGCTGCAGAGCAGCCTCACCTTTGCAAGATCACAGGTGCCGTTCTTAAGAGTTGCCCCTCCTGCCTATCCTGATTATACAGCTGAAACTATGACTGAATCCTAGCACAGTCTAACTGGAGACATGCTGGGCTGATAAGGGAGAAATGAGTTTATAAACTGAAGAAGCTTCAAGAATATGCTACAATGGACAAACAGTAGCCACGGGATTACCCCTGGGGTGAGGTTCGAGGGTGCTTGATCAAGGAGGCCAGAGTGAAAGACTGAATAAGAACAATAGACTTGGCAGCACTTTTTTGAGACATTTGATTTTACACCCTGGTAAGGACCCCAGAATACAGAACAAACTTTCTGCTAAGAGTGGATCTTAGAAACTAGGAATAAGTGATGGCCCTGGCTGAGCAAAGTGGAAATGCCTGGGTTGCCTGGCAGAAGCAACAGGCTCAGGAATGTGGGCCTGATGGAAAGTTTCGCATGTAGGGCTAGAAGCCCCATTACATGATATGCTTCATGGAAGGTCACAGGGAGTCCTCAGCCAACAGGAATCAATTGGTGACGGCAGCAGCATCCCTAAGTTCAGCGACGGCTCATCTCAGGAATGCTTTTGGAGAAAGAATAGGCAGGCTTGTAGACGAAAAGGCTGCCTCAAGTCAGTTTTATAGACCAAGATGATCTTTCTCAAGGATGATGAAGCTGTCCCTTTAAAATGCAGTCATCAAGGAAGATAGTGCCCCATCTCATAGTCTTTTGCTGGTTGTACCAATTTATATTTACATGAGAATTATTAATATATTGCCAACATTTGACTTCCTGGAATATATTTTTTACCAATGCAATGTGCATATGATGTCTCATTGTAGTTTAAACTAGAATTAACCTGAAACTAATGAGGTTGGGCATCCACGCACGTTTATTAGCCATTTACATTTCTTTGTCCTCTGATTTATTTATGTATTCTTGATAGTAGTCCTTTAAAAATTGTTTTAGATATCAAAAATCTTTCTGAATTTTGTGTCTTCTCTCATCAATCTTTTTATAATATATGAGAAACAGAAGTCTTTATTTTTATGTAGTTGCATTTATCAGATTTGCCTTTTGATTAGTATTTTTTGTCTTAAGAACTTTTATAATCCAAATTTATAAAGTTTTTTCTATATTATCCTCTAAATGTTTTGTAAATTTGACTTTCACAATGTTTTATAATTAAATGCATTTATTTTTGCTAATTGTGTGAGATAAGATCCGGTTTTATTTTTTTCAAGTAGTTAATTGACCCACACTATTTATTAAAAGTTCATGATTTTATTGCAAATCTATTTTACTTTCTCTGTATGTTAGTTTGCTGGTCTCACTATTGTGTTCTATTGTTCAATTTACCTATGCTGTGTCAGTTGTATGCTCTTTTAACTTCGGTACTTAAAAAAATTTTGGGGGGACTGTCTAGAGTGTAACTTGTATACTTTTATGAGTCTTCATAACAATTAGAAAATAGTTTTCAATCTTGTTCTTTCTCTTCAAGTATGCTTTGACTTTCTTGGCATTTTGGGCATCTACATAAATTTGTAATCTTAAAATGTGGGTGCATTGAATATCTGCGTTTGTGATTTGGGAAGAGTTGAATATCACTATACTATTCAGTTTTTTCAATCAATGAACATGGTATTTAGGTCTTATTTATAAATTGTCTTAACAATATTCTTTGTAGAGGTCTTGAACTGCTTTGCTAACTTATTCCTAAGCATCGGATACATTTGATGCTAATAAAAATGATGTTCTAATAATTTCATTGATATCCAGTAGAATTGACAAATCCTCTTGTATATTCTAAAGAAAATTGTTGAGTGTTCAGATTTTCTATGCATAAATACATATAATCTACAAATAATTATAACTTTCTTTTCTTTTCTACTTCTTGTTCATTTACTTGTGTTTTTTCTTGCCTTGATACGTGACAGAGATCTTTGATACAATATTAAAGAGAAATGATACAATATTAAATAGAAATGATGGCATACTTGTTTTATTTCTGGTCTCAAAAGCCATTAATAACAAGTGTTTTACATAGATAAAATTAATTAGATTTAGAGTACTGTTCCATTCCAAGTGTGCTATAAAGTTTTTATTATAAATAAATTTTGAATTTCATCAACTATATCTCAGTATCTTATGAGTCTTATACTTTAGTATATTAATGTGGTAGATTTGATTACTTCATTTCCCAATATTAAAATATTCTTATGTAAATAGTATAATTTAACTTGATCATGATTGTTATTTTTATTCATTGCTGGACTGGTTTTGTTCATTTTTCAGTAGATACCTTGACATTTGTGAAAATTTCTCATATCTAATTAGAGTAACTTGGTTTTCTCTTTTAATTGGCATGGATTTGTTCATTTTATTAATCTTATCAAATAAGCAAATTTTGGAAGGTTATTTTCTCATAAACAATCCATGAAACTCATTCTTCATTTCATAAATAAAATAAAAAATAATACAAAAAGTAAAAATATCAAAATTAAAAAATAAAGTTTGTTTGGAATTGTTAGGTATACAGGAAGGAAAGATTTCAACATTTTTGCAATTATAGTTTTATCATTATCTTTTAATAGATAACTATTTTGTCTCAATCTTCAAGATCTTTAGACTGTAGCCTTGAGGCATTTTCAGCTTTTAAAACCTAGAGAATAAATAGTCCAAAAGTCAAACTCATTAATCACTCATCTATTTGTAACTCTTGAGATCTGGCGTCATCTTAAAAAAACACTCCAAGATATACTTCACTTAAGAATGCCCTTAAAAGTTTATCAGAAGTATATTAGATAACATTTGATCAGTGTCAACACATTCCTAAATTAATTATTGTAGAGAGATGAATAGATTAAAAAATAAAAAATTTAAATCAACGAGTTTTTTACACTGTTTTAAGGTTGGAGAATGATAGGTAGTTTACTTGCTATAGCAAGAGAGTGTCAAAGAATATAGTAAACATGTAAGCTCACTCAGACATGCTCCAACTGGCCAAAAAAGATAAATCCGAGCATTAATATAAATAATAGCTTCAAAGAATTAAAACATATTAAATACATTTCAATCTTTGGTTTTATAATGACACTAAAAACAAAAAGGAATTGGTTATTTTTGGAGGATAGTAGGGAACTATCCATTATTTTGAAATACGGTAAACAGATAAAGGGAGATCGTTCAGCTTTCTCTGCCTTTATCCTAGCTTTCTTGTACAGACTATACCACAGGGTTACCAAATATTGATTGAAAATAAGTTTATCTTCTAAACATTTCAAGGAGAAATAATGATTGACATGTAATATCATTTTGAAGCATTTAATTAATTAATTAATCTATTCTAGGGATTGAGCATCAGTGACCACAAACAGGACAAAGTAAGAGACCACCAGACATTATGTGCCTCCCAGTCCAGGAATACAAGATCAACTTGTGACAAAGAGATTGAACATGAATTGGATCAAGCATATAGAGAAAAATACCAATGTACAAGTAACACAGAGGCAGAGAAACGTGTTAACTACACTATAGCATGCAGTGAGCAAAACCCAGTTTTTGAGGAATCCTACAAGTACAAAGACCGAGGTGTTTTTGTGTTTGTGTGTGTGTGTGTGTGTGTGTGTGTGTGTGTGTGTTTTAAAGGAGGTTCACTGAAAAAGAAGTGAGGGGGAGGAGGACATGCACATTAAAAGAAGCTTAGAAAAATATGAAAAATAGAACAGGACAACTACACTAACGTTTTGTGGGCAGTGTGAGTAATAAATCAATCAATGATTATCATTAAATCAGGATAGTGTTACATTTAGGGTGGGAGCGTTGTGATAGAGATGAGTTAAATGGAAGACTTATGAGTTAGCAGGCAAAGTTCAATTTTTTGACCTGGTTGGAGGTTATAAGAATGTCTGACATACAATCCTTTATGAAGCTATACATTTGTTTAATTCTGTTTTCTGTATCTCCGCTAATTTAAAATACAATTTTAAAACTGGATGAGTGAATATATTTATGATACAATTTTCTTTTCAGAGAAGATGTTCTGAAAAGTTTTATTTTATATTAAGTATTAATTTATCAAGTTGATAAACAGAAGAAATCAAAATTGATATTTTCAATATTTATTAGTAAGGCTGAGGCAACAGCCTTTATACGGCACAATTTACATATAAGTTATCAAGATACATCTTGTATACAATCACAAAACCAAGACATATTTTTACATAGAGTAAAACTCAAGACAGTTTTACAAGCATTTTTTAAATACAATTCTCATGTATTTTCAGGTCCATTTATACAATCCTTAGCCCAAGAATTTGCATTTGTTCATTAGATTTTCCAAAGGGATTTAGGTAAAACAAAAAGGAACACATTAGCAAATCACCAACATGGCATGCAACATGTAGTCAGAAACAAGACATGTCTTCAAGTACTTTAGTTTTTATTTCAAAATCAGTTTTATTAAGGTTTTTATTTTTTCAGACAAGAAAATTTTTTCTTAAACCTCATATGTGTTGTTAGGTTATTAGCACACACATTTATCAGTAGTGGGAGCACCTGAGCACATCACTGAACAAATATACAGACACAATCAAACAATAATCATATTCACATGCTGATTGCCAAATGAAATTAATATTTCAACTTTGTCTACTTTACCAAATGTATACTTATGTACAAGGTGATGAATTAAGAAAACGATCTCCATCTACCTATCAGATAAAGAATTTGATTAAATGATTTTGGTTTTATGGATACCTTTAATAATAGAACATGAAACATACAGAATACATCATTGTGTCATATTTAATGAGAATATTTGTTTCACTCATTCATTATTGTATTACACCCAAGGCAAGTGATTATTAAATAAATAGCTCACAATTATTCATTGAGTTTTCTTTCACTTTTCATTTCAAGCTCAAAAAGAGGGAAGGAAGATCACTTCTGTCACACATATAAACACATATATAGCTGTAGTTGGCTGATCTTGGAATATTTGACATTGTAGCAATGAAAATAAGTTTTTAAAAATATTGTTAGTTATGATTTAAATAATAAAGTAAAAAAATACTATAAACATCTTTATGATATTTTAAGGAAATGAAGCATTGATCAAATAATTTCTAATAAATTGGGCACAATAGAATATAATTTTATTTTACTTCACATCACCACCACTGCTAACATCACTACTGCTACCACCACTATCATTACAGTCGTTCCTATAAGAATCAATATCAGCTGGTTACCAGCTATAATATTCCCACAATATGACTATTTAAATGTGTGTGATCCACAAAAGTAATTCCACTGGTATGCTGAAAATATGCATTTAATTAGTGTAATTTATTAAAATATGGGCAATATTAAGGAGTAAAGACAATTGATGCCCTTTAGTCTTGGTATTGTTCTTTTAAACTGAAATATAAATAAAAAGTTCAGAGTCACCAAAAATCTCCTTAATCTTAAGAAAAAACAGGGAAAACACCAACCTCTTGCTACTAGGGTTATTTGTGTCTGTAATGACTATTCTATATTCCCCGTCTTTTGTAAAAATTCACTCTGTGCTTTTGTTTCCACAGCTGAAAGTTTCTTTAGGACCAAATTTTAAATTAAAAAGCAACATCAGTCTCTGATGACTCAATGAAACTGTGGGAAAAACTGAGATGCTCTTTAAGGTAAAAATGTTATAATTGGACTAATCACGTATTCTATATAGATTACAAACTCTGTCAGTATTAGAATAAAAAAAAGTCAATTCCAATAAAATGAAATAAATGAAAGAATGGAAAACCATGTACTGTGATATGTACAAAAAAGTAAAAAACACCAAGAGCCCTATTTGCAATAAAAAAGAAACAGTTTTGTTTTAAGAAGGGAAGTCAACATCATTCAGAAGAAATGCATTCATATAAGAATCAGTGTTGCATAGAATAATTCCAGTACAATCTAGAAGTTTGGTCAGCTGCAAACTTGGCACACTGGCAGGATCTTATGCTCTCTGAAGGGGAATGCTGGTGCACAAAAAGAAGCCCTGTTGTCAACTCTGCTGATTGACCTCACCCCATCACTAGTTCTTTGGAACGGAGGGGCTTCTATAATGGAGAGACTCCTACTCTTTCAGGTTAAATAGCTACCAAAGAGATAATCTTTGTTTTGGTGATCCCTCCATTTATATTATTCTAAAAGAAATTGCAACTGGAATGAAGAAAGCTAACTGGTCATACAAACTTTCATGCACACCTCTGGATATGAGTGGCTGCAAAAGAGGATCAGAGATGAGTCAGGGTTTGCTTTTAAGGGCAAATATCAGAACCTTGTTATGTCAGAAGGAGATCTTGGACCTTTTCTTCCCCAATTATGAATGATGATTATAGGCTTCTTCAAGTGCTAGCTTCTGCTGGAAATATCCATGGCAACCATTGGCAGATCTAATCATCTCTAAAAATAAAATCTTAGCAATATAAAATCTTTCATGATTCCTCTCTCCCATACTCATTTTAGAGTAATGTCAATGGTAAATGACATTGCATTTTCAGTGGAGGGGGATTAAAAAATAGAGGAAAGAAAAGTTATGGTTATCTTTTTCAGTCTGGGGAAGAGTTAATTTGTATTCTGAAGTCATATATATATGTATATATATACATATATATATACATGAAGTTACATATATATATATGTGACATATATATGTGGCCTGGGATATGTTAGAAATTCTCTTATTTTTATTGCTTTACATTCCTCTCAAATTTAAAGCGTTTTTTTAAATGAGAAAATTCCATATCCAACCAATATCTAGAGATGGTTTTCTCTAATCCCGTTAACATTTTGCCCTTGAATAAAGCAACAGGTTTTAAGCTCAGAATGCCCTGAGAAGCAATTTGATTTATTTTGGATAGAATATAAGAATAGGGTGAGACCAATATTATTCATTTAATTTAGAATAACAAAATTTGCAAATCATTTTCATGTAATTCTTCACCTTTTTTTAGGTTAAAGTTTATATTTTAAATAAAAAATAAGCTTTGTAGCTAATTTACTGCTTTTGTCCATGTCAATCCTTGTCATTGATTTAGGTGATATTTTTCACATATAAAATTTGAGAATTAAAAAGCTATGTAATAATTACTCCTTACTTCTGTGCATAAAACTATATTTGGAAATGTGCTTTCATCTTTCATAGATCATTGATTTATCATCCCAACATCTCATTTGGAAGGTTAAGAATATATAATTATTTTTATCCTACAGATGAGAAAACTGGGGTAAAGTGAGTTTAAGTGACATGTGCAAGGTGACATAGTCAGTGGCAGAACTAAGACCAGAAGCCAGGCTTTTACTCCCTGCTGAGTGTGTTTTCCACAACTTCACATTACTTTCTTAATGAATAACGCTGATAGAGAAGAGGGTGCTTCATTTTAAGACTTGGACATTAGTTGTTTTATTCATTATTATTAAAATAGTTCAAAGTATATTTTAACCTCAGGTAAATGTTGACTTATAACGTATTTTCTCAACATTGATGAACTCGATCACTGTGATATTGTCAATAAAGTAAGAAAATAGAGCACTAGAGAGAACTGGAGTTTGGTGTCAGGTTTTCATGATACAGTCAATAAATGAATTCACTCATTAACAAAAGAAGGGTAAAATATTATGAAATGAGGAAATGATACCCATTTAATTAATTAATGTCACAAGATTAATATGGTTTGTTTGCCAGAGAAAGAATTTTCTTTCTCTGTCAATGTATCTCAAGAGAAAAGAAATGTGCAGGATAATACATTAATTTGCAGTTTCACAAAGAATACATTGTCATGCTTCCTAGAACATATCAGTTTACTTTAGTTCCTTTGGTACATAGATTGAAGATGTCTTGGGTTAATGGCAAATTATGAAGATTTTGATGGTTTCAATCAAAATTCCAATATTGTATGGGGCGACATTCTTCTTCATTAGCCAGTCATAGTTTTATTTCTAGATAAATTCAATTTTATTTCTACCTAATATTATCTTCACTCTACATTATTTCAAATTATATTGAAACAAATGCATTTTTACCACATGGATTCAAAGTCAGTGTTGTATACCCTTGTAACATTTATACACAGAGAAAACCAAAAAAAATGTGGCCTAAAAGCCATGATTTCTACATCTCCTATTCCATTTTCCCTAAGAACACAGCCACCTCACTTCCGGTCCTGAACATATATTGTAGATGTATCTTATGTCAGAATCTGAAAGCAGCCAGTTGTCTCAATAGAAGACGATGAAGGAAGATTTTTGAAGTGTTGAAAACAGATTTGTTACATCAGTTCTTTCCTTTCAACCAAGGCTTCTTTGCATAAAGAATTACCTTTGTGCTGCACTGGAAACCACATTAATCTTTGAGCCTCTGTCTTAAGCTATAGCTCAACTCTGCTCAAAGACTTCTGCCTTAAGTAATCAAAATTTCTTTCACAGTTTCTTTCACAGCTATGGGAAATCCAAGGTCTCAGAACTCCATTCCTTTTTGTTTTCAATATGTGAACTTTTTCAACTGAATGTCTTTGTATGGTCCACAACGATAAATGTACAAAGCGTTCAGTATGATTTTGCCAGTTGTTCCCACTCTTACGCTGCCTCTCAAAACTTAGCTTAGTACAATTGTATCCAACTATAGTCTTGATGTGAGGCTATTTAGAACAGTTTCTATACCCTGAGAAGACATGTTTCTTCAATGTGTTTGAGTAGGACTGACCAAAAGTTTGTGCCAGTTGACTATTCTTTTTCTGAGATCCACTTTGTCAAGCCAGATACAGGCTTCACCAATCAAGGTCTTTTTCATAAACTTTCCTCCATTGGAGAAAAGTAAAATCTAGAAAAAATAGTCAAAAATAAATATATTTAATTTATACACATATGTGTGTATAGTTTTCAACTTTTTTAAAGGACATTTAATCATCGAAGAAATAGCACAAAAGAGGGTGATGGTGAGTAAAAGTAGCAGGCATACTTGTAGGAAAACTAATAGTCAAGATGTTCTCAAAAGATTTGCATGTAATATAAATTAAGTCACATCAACATTTGTATTATTCTGCAAAGGAAAAGATACATTCTGAAGAATGTGAGAATATTAGGTAAAATGTGTAGCCAGCTAAGTCTAACTAAGTTTATGCTTAAACTGATGGAGAGTTTCACAAAATAACTTTGCCATATAATTTTTTACTAGTTTACAAAAAGCTATATCAAAAACAAGATTAACTGAATTCTGAATAAATAAATAGAAGTTCACAGAGCATTATTTTTACTTAGCGTTAAATTTTCTGGTGATTTTACTATAGTATCTTCTTCCAAACTGTTTTCTGAAGTCATTTGCAAAACTTATCACACAGGATCTCAAACTAGATAATTTTGTTTTCCCTTTTAGAAATGAGTTGAAGGAAAGGTAGAGAGCATTCAGTGGAGCTAAGCATTAATCCTTGATAATTTTATTACCTTTTTCTCTTCAGAATCTCCTTCGGTTATACAATTCACCCTTATTCCTGGCTAAAACTTAACTTTTTTGTTTCTGACTTCAAAATTCATACTTCCAGATATGAATATCTCTTCTAGTGTCTGGTTTGGGGATTTCAGATGACATTGTATATTTTCACTTGAATCTCTGCTTTCTTATGAAATTCATTTCAGACAAACTCTACTCTAAATCCCCTGACTACATAATCTCTGTGAAATAATACGTTTGTTGACACAGACTTCAGAGTGTCATTTTATTTTTTTATTCCTTTCCAGTCTAATATCAGTTAATCTTCTCAATACATTTTTGCTTTGTAATATCTTTTGTCTTTATTTCTAATTCAAACCTTGAATTTCCTGTACCATGGTATCTTCCTATATTTTTTTCTCTTTTCTCTTTCCCCCATTTCTACTTTCGTTCCTTGTCTATCTACTGAAGACATACTATGTGCAAAGCATTGTGCTAGGCTGTAGGCAATGAATATTGGGCCTTGCGCTACAGAAACTGATAGCATAGAAGCAGTGACAGGTAAGTCCAGAAATTGTCACAAGGCAGACTGGGAGGTAATAGCCTAATAATAGAAGCAAAATGTTTTGTGAATAAGTTGTGATGAATTATACCCAGGGTCATCAGTCAGGGGATGAAAGATGTAGAGTATTGTGATAGATGGAGAGAGTTGGAAGAGGGAGCTTTGAAGGGGAGGAAAAATAGGAGCAAAGGATTGGAGGCTTAACATGACTTGAAAAGAGTCTATTGTGACTGGAGTATTGAGTGGAAAAGTATCGGAGGAGCTGAGACTAAGTCAATACAATTCCTTCAAAACTCACTTTGGAGGAATCTGAATGATTCAAGATAATGGTGAGTAATTGAAGAGCTTTGATGTAAACTAACAAGAATAATGTAAACTAACTAGGGTTTTAAAAGATAACTCTGGCAAGTACTGTGATGACATGAACTAAAGGGATAAGACATAAATAACAAGCTAGCCAGGTAAACAGATGAAATGATTTGAATAAAAAAGAGCGGGGGCCAAAGAGGTTTAGTGGCAGTGAACATGGAAGTAAGTAAAATAAACTCTGCAGACAGAGTAGAGAAGGCTTAGCAGCTGATGGGATGGGGTGAGTGGGATATGGAATTCTAAAAGACTCCTGGGGAGATACTGCTAAAAATTAATTAACTTATCAAATGTCATATAGTGTATGATCAGTATGTAAATATTGAATAATTGAATAAAAATAAATACAATATGAATGAGGTTTTTTATTATGTAGTTAAATATTAACCACATAATACAGAGTTACCTGAAGAGAATGTCCTGCAGGACTTAGACTGAATCGAAAAGTTTCATTGAATGAAGGCTCTCGATCATGTCTGCATACTCTTGTTTTTTTCTTGATCACCTTTTTTTGGGTAGAAATATTCATCACATATATTTTCACATATAAATCTGAAAATAAGAATTTAGCCCATTAAATTCCATCAATCATATACATTTCTATTGAAGGAATTTTAACTGTATACTGAAAGTTCTTTCTACATTTTACACAAAGCCAACAGATTTGTATACAATTTGTTTCAGACAACATAAAATGATTACAAGATATGTCTATTTTTTCTTTCTTTCTTTCCTTCCTTCCTTTCTTTCCTTCTTCCTTCCTTTCTTCCTTTCTTTCTTGTCTTTCTTTCTCTTTCTTTCTTTCTTTTCTTTCTTTCTTTCTTTTTGAGACAGGGTCTTACTCTGTCACCAGACTGGAATGCAGTAGCCAGATAACTCACTTGACCTCACACTCCTGGGCTCAGGTGATCTTTCTGCTTCAGTCTTCTTCATAGTGGAGACTATAGGCAGGAGCTACCACACCTGGCTGATCTATCTATTTTGTTAACAACTTAAATTTGTTTTCCTGTTGTCTAATAAATATAACACTGTAATTTGTGGCTTAGAATATCTAGCTAAAAGCTGAAAGAAAACAACTTTTTGCATATGTTAGTCAGTTCTTTTTTTCTCACGTTTGGTGTACAGTTCAAATTTTAGTTAACATTTTCTGGAACGTTTAATACACATCCCTAATAAAGTCTAGTTGTATTTATATTGATGAGTATAATAAAATTAGATACCTGGTAGATGATCAGGAGACTTAAATTTGTATGTAATATTTCTGCATTGGAGAATTTCAACTATTAGTTGTTCACCATCTGTCTTCATTTCCTTCTTCAATGCAATCTTGATTTCTCCCATTACTTGAGTTTTAGCTGGGAGAATTTAAGAAAAATATAAAGAAACATGTAATGCCATATAAGAAATGTTTAGTTCAGTAGTTCATGCATTTACTGTTTATCAAGTGCTAAATATCTTACGATATCCTAAGTACTAAATATCTTATGATCACATTTTATTCATCTGTTGTATTCATTCACAAATGAATAAAATACACAAAAAATTTATCACAGATTCATTTATTCACAGATGAATAAAATACAGTCCAAGCTGTTAATGCCCATAAAGAGTGAACAATCTCATGGGTAGACTAATAAATACACAGATGCTTACACCAAATCATGTTAAATGTAATGATAGCTTAGTAACAAGAGAGGTATGGAGAAGTGCATGTAGCTAAATGTTATTCTACTATAGATTTTTAGGGCAAAAGCAGTAATAGATATGACTGTATCAACTAGTATAGATATGTATCTATCAATAGATATGACTCTATATCAATTCATGTACTAATCCACTTATTCATTCTCTAAAAAATATTTTATTTCCTACTCTACTCTGTGCTAAGCCCTCTACTAGGAATAGTGAATATAATGATAAGCCAAAACATGCATGCTTATTGGTTTCATGTTTTTTTAATTTATTTGGAAGAAAAACATTAATCACATATATTCATCAATAAATATATAATTATAAAAAGAGAAAAGGTTTTGAAATACGGAAGCATAGTTTCAATGGAGGCTAAAACCATTGAAAAAAAGAGGCAGATGTCTAGGGAAGTGTTACTTAAGCTGAAAACAGAAGGATGAGAGTTAATTAGGTGAGACAGATAAGGAAGGACATTCCAGAGAGAAGGAACAGTGAGTTTCAAAAAGAAACCTAACCTGAAAAATAAATGCCTTTGTGGTTGTAACATATTGTAAATTGAAGCCATGTTAACAATTTGGTTTTTCCCTTTAGAATTATAGGAATCCATTGAAGGTCTTTAAACATGGTGTAGATAATTTTTCTCAAACAATTTGATCTCAGGATTCTTTACACTCAATAAAATTGAGGGTCTTCAAAGAACCTTTGTTTATGTGGATAACTACTAATATTAGAAATATACAATTTCAGATTTTAAATTAAAATTCAAAAGTAGATATTTAAAAGTATTTGTTAATTAAATTCAATGACAATAACTGCTTTAATGAAAACGTTTTAATGAACATAACTGTGTTTTCCAAAACAAAAGAAAATAGATGTACTGTTTTATATATTTTTAAATTTCCTTAGTGCATGGCTTAATAGAGGACAGCTGCACTCTCTTTCTTTCTCTCTCTCCTTTCTTTCTTTCTCCTTCCTTCCTTCTGTAGAGATGGAGTCTCACTATGTTGCCTAGGCTGGTCTCAATCTTCTGGCTTTAAGCAATCCTCCTGCCTTGTCCTTTCAAAGTGCTGGGATTACAGGCATGAGCCACACTACATTTCACCTCTTTCTTTCCTTTTAGAGAAAATGTCTCACTCTGTCACTCAGGATGAAGTATAGTAGCCAAATCATGGCTCACTGCAGCCTCACACTCCTTAAGTCAACCATTATATTTTGGTATGTGGCAGAAGTGCTTTAAAAATATTTCCTGTTTAATCACACAAATAATACAAAGGCATGCACTGAACTGATTCATCGAGGATACCCTTAAGTGAAACTGGCATTTTTTTTTCTTAGTAAGCATGTTGGTAAATAAGAAAAGTTTCTACTAGCATCGTTTATCACCTCTGCCTTGATTGAAAATAAGTTCCTAGCACTTTTACCTACTGTTACTTTGCACTGCCAATATAAATGCCAACCCAGTGAAAAAGGTAAATAATTTCAGTGTATTTTGAAAACAATTTTGACTTTATGGACTTAAACAGTCTTGGGGAACCATGGAGGTTTGTGAACCACATTTTGAGAACCACTGTTATAGAGTATAGTTGAGGAATTTTTGAAAGAAAATGAAATAACAAAACACTATGAACAAAGTTATCAAAATATTAGGCTGTAGCTATTTGATCATTTTGATTTAATTTTGTCACATTTTGGGATATAATTGATAGATATATTCTTTTCTGGCTCAAGCAACTATTTGATTAAATTACCTTGAATTTAGTAAGTCCAGATATATTCTGACATGGAAAATTATCTATTAATATCTCTCTCCTTGCTCTCTTCCTTTGTTAAAGAACTATTACTGTGGTCCAAAAATTGACAAAATTATTTTCTATATGTTTTATAAACTAAAACAAATCTTCTAAAGTTAAATCATAATTTGTGAGCCAATGATTAGAGATAGTTAGTTTATAGAAGAGAGATGTTAACTTTGAAGAAACTCTGAGTCAAAGATTTTATATCTAGCTAAACTATCTTTCAAGTATCAAGTCTATAATTTGATGCATGAAAGAACTTAGAGAATACTTTACAAAAATTGACTTGCTGAGAAATACGTAAGACACATTTCATCAAATCAAAGAGACAACTAGAGAAACTTCAGCAAAAGGATTGATGCTCATTATTCAATATAACTAATTGTAGAACTAAGGTTGAGCAGTACATAGGTTGGTAGAAGAATAGCATGGAAATGTTATATTTCTGAAAAAGTATAAAGTATGAAACTAAAAATTAATGAAGAAGGAAGAGAGAAAGAGAAAGCAGAATGAGATTATTGATTTTTATATAGGTAATAGATAACAAATGATACCATTTAAAACTAACAAACCAGTTAGTAAATGGTCATGTAAAAGGAACAGGAACTAGGGCATTATAAAAACCATAAACAAGAAGAAAATCTTTAGAACAATTATATAAAGCTTTCTTAATTCCAAAAGAAAATTAAAAAACCCAGAGGCCAAGTGAAGAAATATCATAATATAACATAATATACACAATAATTATAAAATGCAGAGTTGAGATCAAGCATATCTATTACATCAATAAACATCAGTAGGTTTTAGCTAGCATATTTTAATTTTTTTCAGATTGGCTCATAAAGTGAAGCCTAGTTCTATAGTATGTACAAGAAACACAACTAAAATCTAGTTTTGTTCCAAATTGTGAAAAATACAGAGATTGGCAATATGTCAGGCATACCGAATCAATGAGTGCAGAGGTTGAGATCTCATTATCAGATAAAATAGAATTCAGGCCAAAAAGTAGCAAACAAGACAAAGAAAGACACTGTATGAAACTAGAAATCCATAAATCATAATGAAGACACAACAATTATCAACATCCATGTACCACTGATGTAAAGTTGAAACTACAAAGTAAGATTTAAGGATGTAGAGGATTTAAGGAGTAGTAAAAATGATAATAATATAAGACAAGGCAAGTGAACTAAAAAACTAGACAAAATGTTGAGACACTGCAATTGATAAAGTAGATCTCACAATATGTCAAACACTATACCATGATAATAACAAATATACTTTTTTCTCAATCATCTATGAAACATATTCAAAAATTGATCATATATTGAGTTACAAAGAAGACATTAGTGAGTTCTATAAAATGAAACGATCATTAACATTATTTGATAATACACTCAGTGGCTTTCAACTAACCAACTTTTGGGTGAATGGAAAAATACTATGAAAAAATAAAGAAGTTCTGAAAAATAATGACAATAAAACACTATATATCAGAATGCATAAGAGTTAAAGCAATGATCGATGAAAATCAATAGCTTTAAACTTCTATATCATTTCAAGTAATGATTAGAAAATACACATATTCTTCTATCCACTATCTTTAAAAAATACAATTGGTTTAAATTCCAACCCAAAGTCTAGACAGGAACAACAAGGTAAAACAAAAGTATAAGGAAGGAAATAATAAAGACACCCACTAAAATTAATAGAGAACAGAAAAAGTAGATTAAACTAATAAATCAAATCAAAATTCTGGTACTTTGAAAAAAACCCATCAACACAATAAAAATCTAATACTGAATTTAGTGAATGTCATATGACCTCTTAACATTACCATTTAGAAATGACATGTGATCTCTTAACTACAACACTACTCTTCTCTCAATGATTTGGTATAAAATATCTGGTGCCATGAATATACCCTAATACTAGTTGGTTCCCATTTAATTAATGCATTCTTGACAGATGGAGAACTTTAAATCTCATCTTTTATGTTTGAATTTGCAAGGGTGAATTCAGTTCTGGTTACTTAACCATTTTAAATAATCATTAACAAGCCAATTAAAATATCTCTCTTTTAAAAGACCTTTATAGGAAAATAAAGAATCTCTAAAATATAAATGAGAAAATGAGACAGATCTTAGGATCTGCCTTCTTCAATATCTAGAGAAGTTGGGCGGGGGTGGAGGGGGGGAATGTAAAATATAGGAAAGTGTTGTTAATCAGTACCAACAAAGCAAGAAATAGGCTCCAGCTCTGGCCAGAAAACACAAATAATTAATGTCTAGAAATGAAGAGGCAGTTTCTGGTAAGTTAGAAGTTAGCAGCATTCTTGAGCACAACAGATATCACAAAATCTTGCCAGGAAAAGAGAAAAGAATTGATAAAACCCTGAGAATTATTACTAAATCCCCCATCATAGGGAAGTAGATGAACAATGAGAGTAGCCAGCCCTACGAAAAAATCAAAATAAACCTTTGAGAGTGGCAGTCTTGGCTTATCACTATGAAGATTTAAGAGTCTCAGAAGAATCAGGAAAAACAGCCATGCCTCCCCATTACTGGAGCTCCAAGTAAAAGTAGGAGAAATATGTAAAGCTTAGTATATCTTTTCATAGGAATAGCACACACCTCAGCTTGGTAGAGTGAATACTGATAGAAAACATTTAATCAGATGTCAAAAGAGGGAGCAAAAAAACCTAGTTAGGGTGGCAAATCTATCTATAAGGCACTTCCTCTAAAGCCATAGAAAAGTAGATAGCTACTCCTCAATCTCTCAAACCATACCTGGGAGGGAAGGAAAAGCAAGATTCTAACATGGAAGGGAGGGAGTCAAAGAAAATTCTCTCCTGATACTTGCAGTCAATAGTA